GGATAACATGTTAAAACGAACATGTCCTTTATTTCTGTTTCAGTTTTACAACAAAGAGGAAAGAAAGAATAAATAAGAGTTCTACAATAGAGCTACAAGGAATTATTCTTCATCGTCTCCGGAGTTTTCCTCTGTGGGCCTCTTGTGTTTAGCTCGCTGCATAAGCTAAGCAGCTGACGTTTAGCTGAGGGCAGAAGAGCATCAATCAATCAAGCAGTCACTCAATCAATGAGTCATCATTCAATCAATCATAGTCTTTATTGCCAAGTATGTTAAAAATACAAGGAATTTGACACCAGTTCAGTGGCCCCCAATTTGCACCAAATAAAATGCTGTACTGTAAAGACAATAAGACAACAACAATAATTGATAAATATATGTAACTAGATGCAAATGTTTATGTGGACCTCAGGTCCTGGGAGATGGTGGAGCCCAGGAACTTAAAGGACTCTACTGCTGATACAGTGCTGCTTAGTATAGAATATTCAGCTCCAGGTTGCTGCGACCACACCACAGGGCCAGCTGTTCATCCTCCTGTCTGTGGGCCGACTTGTCACTATCTCAGATGAGACCAATGACCGTTGTATCATCAGCAAACTTGAGGAGTTTAACAGAGGGGTCCTCTGAGGTGCAGTCGTTGGTGTAGAGTGAAAACAGCAGAGAGCACACATCCCTGGGGGGTGCCTGTGCTGATTGTCCGGGTGCTGGATGTGGTTTTCCCCAGCCTCACCTGTTGCCTCCAGTCTGTCAGAAAGCTAGTGATCCACTGACAGGTGGGGGCAGGCACAGTGAGCTGGGTCAGTTTGGAGTAGAGGATGTTTGAGATGATGGTGTTGAACGCCAAGCTGAAGTCCACAAAAAGGACCCGTGCATAGGTTCCTGGGGAGTCGAGGTGGTGTAGGATGTAATGCAGTGCCATGTTCACTGCATCATCCACTGACCTGTTTGCCCGGTAGGTGAACTACAGGGGGTCAGTGATGTTACTCAGATGGGCCAACACCAAAGCAGGCCTGTAGCTCTGACTTTGCCTGCTTAGTCCATCTCCTCACTGTTCTGACCACAGGCTTTGCAGCTTTAAGTTCCTGCCTGTAGGTTGGGGTGAGATGAATCATGCAGGGGTCTGAAATCCCAAGGGCTGCATGGGGTGCAGCGCAATAGAGCAGAGAATCTGGGTGTTTCTGTTCTATGCAAATTATCCAGTTAACTAGGAGCTGCAGTGCATTTTTAACACAAGCCTGTGGTGGAACATACAGTAAATACCGACCAGGATAAATGAGGAGAACTCCCTCGGTGACACTGAACCCCCCCCAAGTTGCCCGTGATGATGGCGCATATGCATGCAGCAGCCCGGGGCCCTCGGCTCCAAACAAAATTTCATTGTACTGTATGTGCCACAATGTTACAATGACAATAAAATAAAGCTCCTTCTTCTCTTCTCGGTGAATAGAGTGGTTTGCAGTCAATGAATAGTGCCTCTGTATTGCAAGTTCTCTCTATGCTTATGTAAGAGCAGATTCTACCTCCTCTCGGGGGGCTTTGCTAGATATATAGCTGGGAGTGGCATTCTGTAAGGCCCTCGACGTACCAGGGCGCCGGTACTCCTCCCCCCTCAGGCGTCTCTTCAAAGACCCAAAGATGGCTGCTGCTCTGCCAACTAAAACCTCTAATCACCTTTCCCTGTCCATAAAATGGGAGAAAAGATGTACAGACTGAGTTGTTGAAGGTTCAAGAGTTCAACTCTAGTAAAAACAATCCAAGAAGAGTTACAAAAACTGTCAAAAGCACACAAGAGCAAACAACTGAGGTGGCCATCTGCCGCATCGTCTTGACCTGAATTTAATATAAAGATCATGAATCTGCCTGGAGTCACGACTGCAAGCTGGCAGTGTATATCAGAGTTTCACTGGATCCGGATCAGTTTAGAATCGTTGTCATGCGAGGCTTACACACAAGCTGATCGGTCTAGCCCTGGCGCATATGACCAAGATGAACTATCACACTTGGTTGCAACAACCTTTTGCATGTTGTTACACTGACGCGAGCTACCTCTAAGTGTCACTATTGGCAGAGTTCACTGTTTCATTCTGCACCCATGACTCTTTAGTGAACTGTTCACATTCCAGGTGCTGAGGCTTGACCCTTGGGAAGTCACAACATTTTGTGATAGGTTTTGATTTGAGTAAACAGCACTTTTACTACTTTGTTGTTCTTCATCGGTTGTTTACTGGGTTACTTTGGTTATGATGCTGTTGTAGGTCATTTTCATCAAAAACCTTAGTTAGTTAGTTAAACCTGGTTAGTTATTGTTAATAAAGTGCAGTTTGTAGCAGTTTTATCTAGTAGAACCCAAATTCTACATGTTTACATAATACATTATAATCTTGACTGCAACTGCTCACATTAAACAAATCTTCAAATGGTTCTGATCATTCTGGAAAAGGAAATGTACAGTAGAAACTAATAGAAGTAGAACAAAACCAGTATTTGGCTGAAGGTTTCACTCTAGCTGGTGGTAGTGTCTGGTTGCTCAGTTAATGTGACCTGATGTTGCCAGGTGCTTCAGGATGAGCAGGACCTCCGAGAGGAGCAGCGGAAGAAGAAGGAGGGGCTCTTCCAGCGGACGGGACGTTTCCGTCGCAGCACCTCTCCGCCCAGCCGAAACTTCTCCCTCTCCCTGTCCAGACATCATGACTCAGCGCTCCCCTCCTTGGACCCTTCTCCCTCCGTCACACTCCTCTCTTTGTCTTCTCTGTCTGACTGCAACTCCACAAAGTCCCTCCTCCCTTCAGACCCAGACGAGTTACCTCTGACCCCGACGGCAGGGATCAAAACGCCAGCTGCGCCTCCAGCTCCTGCGCTCAACCCGCTTTTAGACCTGCGGGCGGAGAGCTTCAAGAAGGAGCCTAACCAGTCACTCACACCTACCCACGTGTCTGCAGCCATGGCCCTGAACAGAGGACACAGACGCACTCCTTCAGACGGGGCGATACGACCCCGAGCCCAAACGCTGGGACACCACAGGACGCCGTCAGATGGGAGCATGCCCATCCCTCCTCCACCAGGGGCACCACACATCACACCTGTCAAAGGTACAGGGGGAAATATGTTAGAATAGGTGAAAACTGTGATGCTTCAGGTGTTGGTCAACAGAGTCATGTGGAGAAATGATACAAAACCAAATGATAACATGCATTTAAAGTTTTGATGTTGGGCTCCTTTGATGCTCAGGAACAAATCTGAGCATGTGACTGATCCTGTCCTCACAAACCCCTCAGAGCCTGAACTATGCATTCAATGAACATGAACACAAATTAAAGCCAGCAGAGTAACAGCGAGTATATGGGCCACCTAGTGTGAGACCAAGGTCATTACTGGATAGTGTATTGAACATGTGGCCCTTTTTGCTTATTGCTTATCTCATGTGTTTGATCTTCTGACATGATTAAAACAGCAGATGGCCCCTGCTCTAAACCATGTCAGTGTTATTGTTACAAAATGAAATATCTATAGTAACTTGAGTAGGTGCACAGGACAAACACATGAATCTGCTGGTTGTAAATGATACACAAACTAATTTCTGATGTATTGCTGTGATTATCAGATTTGGGCCTGGAACTAATGAATATCTTCTATTATTGATTATCCTGCATTATCTCGGTTAATAGTTTTGTCCATTAAAAGTCAGAATATATAATCATCACATCAGAGAAGCTTGAACCAGAGAATCATTTTTGCTCAAATAGTAGCAATGGGAAATTTCTTTCTCATCTGTCTTTCATTATCCAGGTACACAGGACACCCTGGATATCCCTCGTCTCCCCGACCCATCCACCATCTTCCCAGTCCCTCATCGGCGTAAAGCTCCCGCTCCACCAATCCCTGACCCCGATCCTCTCTGCCTCATCAGCCCCCTTGAGAGACCCAAGACGCTGGAGTTTGCCCCGCGGCCGCGGCCTGCCCCGGCCAAGATGAGAGCTGACCCCTGGAAGCTGGGCTCTCTCTCTCGGACCTTGAGCTCATCGCCGGGCAGCAGCTGTGACAGCCCGCTCGGGTCAGGTGACAGCAGTGCCTGTGCTGCACGGCCCAACCTGATGGACATGGACATGGAGGGCCAGAGTTTGGACCACACTGTCCCTCTGTGTGGACAGCTGCAGCCTGCCACTCTATGTGGACAGCAATACTCATAGTGACAAATAGTGAGCGAACCTTTGTACTCTTTTGCATTCAAACCTCTTCCAGGACATTGGAGCTTGGGCTGGAGAATGAACCCCTACTGATGTCTGAGCCGAGCAAAGTGCACTCGTTCAAGTTTGCAAAAGTATCTTGTCTTGTTTAAGCCATTCCTCACAGCCTGGTCGTGCCCTCTAACCTGCATGACACTGAGGGTCCTGGAGGCCTCTTAAAAGCCTTGTAGTGTGCTCACCTCACCCAGCACTTCTTCTTTCCCACCTTGGAAGCCATCTCTACCCAATCTTAGTGCCTCATGGCTTGCATTTCCTTTGAGACTCACAACCTTCAAAAGCCATTTCTGACTTTGGTAACTGCTCATTTCGACCCATCTTGCTTTTGCCAGTCCGTGTGGTCTCCTGCTTTCTGCTTATATCTTTCCGGTCTCCCACTCCTTCATTTTCTGTTTCACCTAAACATCAATTGTTTCAGGACTGTTTCCCTGACAACAAGAGGAGCAGGACTGTCTGAGGAGTTTTAGCAGAGTGTTCTTGTTCTTATTTTGCACCCCGTTTGTTCTGCACAGACACCTCAGCACTGCCTTCATCCTCACACGTGTCATCTCTTCTGCATGAGGGTCATAGTCCTCTTCCCTCCTAGATGCCGAGAGAAAGCCTTTTTTTTCCTCCTCAAAGCACTGGTTACATCTTCAGCCTTGTACAGTGAAAAGCAGAGTTTATTTTCTCAGTGCTTGCACCATCCCTGCTTCAGCCTATTAGCAAAAATGTTTTGCTATTG